TAAGCAATAGGAACCCAAAACGAAACGACCTACGAACGCACAAATGACCTTGAGCAACCGATCAGGTGACTGTTTTTTTCCAGCAATAGGTTTTGGGGATATATGACACCAGCCTCCAGAAAGGACATATTGAGGCGACCCCTAAGCGCAGGGCATGTGTATTATTGCCCATTATCTAGCGCTTAGTGTTGCCTGGGACGACTATTGTCTTTTTTTTGAGCCTTCTGATTGTTCCTTGACAAGGTCATTTATGCGTTCGCAGGTCGCTTCGTTTTGGGTTCTTATTGTTTACAGTTGCCCCTGTAAGTATTGAGGACAAAATGTAAATTTAAAAGACTTGGTTGTTGAGGAAACATGTTCTGGTGCTCAGTATATTTGAGTAAAATAATAGTAAGGTTTATCTAAGGAAAAGGGTCCAGAACTTATCTATCGAATATGGCTATAATACAAACTCAAACAATGCGCATGTTGACAGCATGACGGAAAATAATAATAATAATAATTTGCCTTATTCCAAAAACAGTAGTAATGATACAGCAAGAAATTTTCAGCACTCAGTACAATATTGCATCTAATTTACTCAAAAACGACAACAACAAAAAATAAATAAAATAAATAATCATTATATAATAATGGTAAAAAAAGTTTTTATAGCAGCTATTTAGCAAATTACTGTAAGCAGTACGGAGAAAAATACGCATAAAGTCTAAAATTATAGTAATAATAGTAATAACCACTAAAATAAAAATGGCAAAGTTATAATTAAACGATAGAAAGGGTGACACCATAAAATTACAGAAAGATGAACAATGAAAGGGTCGATTCACTATGCTAATTACATAGTAACTTATATGATTCACGTGTAACAGAGTCTTCATCACGCAAAAAAGGCCTTGGATTCAGTTCGTAAATGTATACATTAAAACAAAGTCATAAAACATTGGAAATTGCACTAATAGGTAAACAATAAAGTTAATAAAACGACAGATAGCATTGCTAGCAAGCTCAGTGATAAGACAACCAGTCATAATCAAGATTATCAGAAAAGACAGCTATTTCGTGCATGAAGACTTCAGAAAGGTCTAGAAAGACAGTGAAAGATTTCCAGTTAAACCACTGAGCTAAGAGAACTCAATGACATCCATCTGAACATCAAGTTTTTGTGATTCATGACTGCTTTGTACCAATTATTGGATTTCACACCATATGAGACTGAGATCATTACTTGTGTGAAGAAGTAGACTAACTAATGGTAGTGGAACCGTTGCATTTGCAGCATTTCATTAAATCACCAAAAATTGTTTGAGACTACACGCAATACTTAACTTTGGATGATTTTTAAACTGTGTCAATTTGAGAAGCCTCAATAGTCCTTTAAGAAACTTTAATCTGTAGTAAACTTCCTTTAGATTAGGATAAGCAATGGTTGTTTTCTGTAATAAGGTAAAGTTCGGTTAGCAAGTGTGCAAATATCACCATAGAATAAATAGCCTAAAGCTGAATTAACATTGAAATTTAAGCAGATATTTTAAGCTGTAGGCACTCAGTCGAGTTCGGCTTTTCGTGAGCGTCACCCTCGGTTAACTCAGCAGGCTTGTCCTTTTGAACGATAGAATTGTCGTCTTATTTTTCACTTTGTCTTGGTAGTTTTTTGTGGTCTAGCGGTTTGGAGGATGAAAAGATAATACGTTATTGATTGTAGTGTGTTTCCCACTCCAAAAATTAGCTTTCGAGATAATGTTTCATATCATCAAAGCATTAAGAGCTATTCTATTTGCTTATGCCATAACTACTAACAGACAGTGTTGATGAGTTCAGGACTTTTATGAGACCACATTAGGTTTATCTATTCAATAAAGCTTTACTTAACAGTCAAATGTCAACGTAATGGTATGTTCCCAATGAGAAAACCGAAATTTTCAATACTAACCATCTTATAGGTGTGTTTATTCAAAATGTTCCAGTAAAAACCAAACGCAAGTTTCACTGGAGAATTAGGACTTCTTCCTCAAGATCACCAGAAGTATCTGCGGCTCAACAATAACTATCACTGTCATCTGACTAAATGAAAAGTTTTCTCTAACTCCTAAGAAGCAAGCAGGAATCAGTATATATGGTGGATGCTGATTAGTAATGGAATCCGGGGTGTGCGTTTCGTCCTATCTGGGACTCATCAACTGGATGTACTTGCATCCCCAACTAAAGTAATAATAAATAGGAATCAGTATACTTGTCTGGTGTATTTGTAGAGAATATGCTTCATTCTCGCACCCATGTATTAAGGACTAACGGTGTAAGGCATGTTACCAGAATATGAAACCAGATCAGAATAAATCAGTCCAAATTCTAGGTTATGTATAATTTTGTGTTTGAATGGCTCAATAGAATGCATTATACTGTCAGTTGTGCATCTTTCTTTGATTTGCTAGAGTTTCTGTTATTCATAAAAATGAACAAGAAGGACAAATTAATGGGTTTCTGATAGAGAAGACATTATATTTCAAACATGACTCTGCTGTTAAAAAGTCTGGACTGCAGATAATCAATACGAAACTGAAATGCTGCAGCTTTAAGAATCAAATTGCGAAATACAATGATTCTATAAACTGAAATTCTAGAGTAGAACGTTTACACTTTCTAATAGACCACCTTTTTGTAAATATACTTATGAGACAAATAAATTCCCTTCAGATAATTAGATATTCAAGACCATTTATTTACAGAATAAACTAAAAATATGCCATCGCAGGATGAGATCACCATATCTCAGATTATCGACAAGTTGTATTTCAACAATTCTTTTCATATAATCCAATGTAATTCAATTATCCGACACAGTCTTATGCGCTGGGTAATTAGTCACTCTCAGTATGCTGAAGATTACCATGTTACCCGAATACTTGGCGAGAAATGCCTGGAGTGGATTTTGAATTTGGACTAGTGTATAAAGGATAAATGCTTACATTAGTGAGCCGCAATACATTGATGTAACTATAACGGCAGAAGACGTGAGTATATGACAACGGACCTACTGACTGGCAATTTTATACCCAGATAAAGGCAAAATACATCTATATTAGGATATATTGGAATCACAGTTTGCATATATCTTCGGCAATGTGCTTCTTCGTCTTCCTTTCATGTTTCCTATGTTGTTTCATAAGCGTAGTTCATTAAATCTATCTTTCTACCATTCAGTATTCTTGACCCTGATATACATATTTATTTCTGAATTTACACACTACTTATAAATATTGTTAGTAGTATACGCCAAATAACAAAAACATTGAATATGAAGACTTCACTATTCCCTTATGAGAATGGGACATCCACAAAATATCAGAATGAAAGAGTAGCAGTCAGGTATCGTTTGGTAAAGACTTCAATAAGGCAGATGACCTTTTGCTATAAATCTCTCGTACAGATAATAGTAACACTAGAGCTAAGAATCAGAACCCGAAAATATCTCAGCAAAAACCTGAACTGTAAATCACTGAATTAAAGATTTTAACTAAAACACCTCATAAGAGGAACACACAATGCATTGATTGTCCACTTGTATGTTATCATTCTACTTACACATGCATTGTTTAAAACAACAAGTTACTAGATAGTTGGAGACAATCGGCAGAAAGCCTTGCACAACCTAGGTTTCGTGCTAGTTGACACTCACCAGTCAGCAAGGCGTATCAGCAACCTTGAAGGAACTCATGCTCTTTCTGAGATTTGAACCCGCATCACCCAGTGAACGCTGCAGTCAAAGACGTTACCTCTGGGCTATTGGGGCCCGCGATTGACCTCCTGTAGGACTGTAGTGGATACATTGATTGGACAGTAGTAACTGCAAACCTGACTGATAGAATTCAGTCTGCACCAAAGAAAGGACTAGACACATCACACTAATTACATACAAAATACATTACTAATTTTACAAATATTGTGAGATATCCAGTCCTACAACTGACAAACAAACAAATATCTAAACTAAAGGTAAATATTTAGCTAAATAATGAGTAGAGAGGCCACTGTTTAATGACAGTTGTTACGATACAGCTTTTCAAATAGTAATAATAATACCCTATTTGTTTAAGTCATCCTGTGTTTCCCGTTGATCGACAGTACTGAAACGAAATGTTCGACCTCTTTTAACACGTCAGCTTCTAGTACGGATGTTTCGACGATGTCTCAGGATTAACGTAGTGTTGATTGATGGATGGTGACTAGCAGTAGAATCCAAGACACGCATCACTTCCTATCTGGAACCCATCAGATGGATGTACTTGTATCCCCATTGAGACTCGAACTCAGTGTCAATCCTTTCAAATGCCAAAGCGTCAGCCGCTAGGTCATGGGGCCACGATAACACTTTGGCGTTTGAAACAATGGGTGCTTAGGAACATCCTCACTCACTGGGGATGAAGTTGCACCTGTATGACGAGTCCCGAATAGGACAAAATACACATCCTAGATTCCACTACCCGCTACCATGAACCACATAAAAATACCTTAGTTTTCAGCCTATTTAGCTGGTACTGTCCTAACCACTGTATAACAGTTATATTGCAGAGAAGAAAAGGCCGATGAGGCTCGAAGGCAATGGTCTATTAGGAAACAAACGCACTGTAGGTACATAAATTTGGTATACCTTAGCTTTAAGTTTTTATTTGCACATCATTTGCAAATTGGTCGAATATCACCACATTCGATAGCTTGTTGGATTCTGCTCAGTGTTTCTAACCTTCTTCTCACAGTTCTCTTCTTCGATCGTTTCTTCCAGTGCCTAAAACATATTGCTGTTACTTTTCTCAATTCGTTTACTGCTCTATACTACTTATATCTGATTATAAGTAGCATTCACCACAATATGACACACACACACACGCATACTATCAAGATGACAGAATTTACATTCATTTGTTTTTATAACAACAAATCTTGTCCCTTAAGTGTATGATGAAGGAATTCCTATCGATTGCTTCTGACATACATTTAAGACTTCAGGAAGAAATTATACGAACCACTTTTGCGTCAATCATTTGATTCGAAATTAGAAGCATAATGAAAACAACAAACAACGACAACAAGAAATTGTACAGACAGACAAAAAATAACTAAATTCTGTATGGAAATATATTCAAAAGTTATCTAAGTATTCTGAAAGCGATAATGAAATCCGTTTAAAAAAGGAAAGCATACGCAGTGACATCAATTTACAATGTTTTATACAAAAAAAAGGATTCGAACCGCATACATACACCCATACTACTTCCTTATTTATTTATCTTTTTATTTATTCAATTCTAACTAATTTCCAGCCTTTCGGTAGAGTTGTAGTCTCACTGATCAGTGAATAATCATCAACAGGTGTTAGCTGTAATTCCATTACATGATACTGTCGAACAGAACTGTGATGTCCAATTGAAAATGGTGTAATTTGCCGTCTTGATAGACTTGTATAGGCTTGAAATTCATCATTAGCGCTTAACTGACTAGTTGATTCATCCATGAATACAACATCAGGTTGGTAAAAGCATACGGCTGCTATTGTTAAACGTTGCATTTCTCCAGGTGAATAATTGATGTGTCTGCAAACATTAATAGAGATTTTTAAAAAAAGTGAAATTTCTGGATAAAGAGGAAACGTTTATTAATAAGACGAAAATCAACCATCTGATGGGCTTGTTGATCTACATCAGACAGTCATAATGTTTCAAGCTAAATTTGCTCGTGTTCACCTGTGATAAGAAAGAATGGTGTCAGTAGTAAGTTTACGCTTCTTTAATCAATCCAAAAAACAAAAGAATATTCTTTACCCGGTCCTGTTACTTATTCCTCAGTTATGAGGAGCACTGCCATTCATTGTGGGGCACTTGAGATAACACCCATTATCATTATTATTATTATTTTTTGACTATAGCTTGATTCTATACTGTATTTTTGGTACAAGTATGCAATTTTCAGCATGTGATATCGGTAGCCCAAATTTCGCAGGCCGACCAATTGATATCAGGTGTGCGTCGGCAGGGGATAGAACCCCTGACCATGTGCATGGTCGGGGAGAGTCCTAACCGCTGTGCCACCGACGCACGCTAATTCTAGCTTTATTTGGTATGATAGCCAAAGTGATTATGTAAAATATTTCACTCTTATATATAAGATAAATATTTAAGTTAGTTACTGAAAGGTGATTTCAATGTTTAGCTTTTTCATGCTTCGATCTGTTGACACGTTCTATGAAAATCACCCATTTCACATAATTTAACACAATGCTACACAATGTAGGGTAAAGCAGGTTGAAGATGAGGCAGTAACTCATAGAAGAAGACATTGCGAAATGGTCATGCTATGTCGTGAATTGACAGAAGTTAGAATTCATGGGTCATTGGATCAGGTCTCAGTGGCCTAGTGGTCTACGAGCTAAATCGCCTTGTAACCGAAAGGTCCTGGGTTGGAACCCTGTGGGTGGGTGCGTACTGATGAAGAGTCCCAAACAAGACTGACGAAACAGCTGTCCAGTACTCCCAGCTTTTCCAGTGGTTCTCTAACTGATGTCAGTTCATGATGAAATCCTCCGTCCAATCAAACAAATTCCCCACAAAACCAATACTTGAAAAAAAACAATGCAATTATGACACACTGGTTAATGTACTACCTGGCTAGCGACCAAGTTAAAGAATAGTGGTCCAGTTGTGTGAACCCCCTCAATGACCTTGAGCGCATGCTATTCACTGGATAACGGGACCTGAAATTATTACAGTGTCACTGTGAGCGCTGTGCAAGAATTAAGGTGCTAATTTAATCCAGACCTCGTTTTTAAGTACTGTTAAGATAATGGGTTGATATCACATAGTTGTAAATGTCCATAGAGTACTTTCACGTAAATTCAGCAGTGTTAAGAAGCAATTGGTGAACGTATAGTGAGGTTTACACAGTGTATGAGACGAATAACTGTTCGAAATGGTAAGTGGCACAGTTAATTCATTTATTTTTAGCAACTTCCGTTTCTGATTCGAAGCTGTAACTGACAAATATACTTTCCGCTTGCCATTAATGGGTATTGAAGAATCAGTTGATATCAACGCCTGCACAGACGGAGAATTCGTTAGTATCTACTGTGCAATGGTTTCGCCATTGCAGAGATATAACATCCTGGAAAGTGAATACTATCACACAGCTGTTGGGAGGAGTGGATTTTATTGTTCATATAAATAAACCCGTTCTGATAAAGAAGAAAAATAATCATGGTCGCTATAGTGAGAAAAAATGTTTGGGTACTGGGAATTCGCGACATTAAATTTCGGAAAGGAATTGTAGTAGTAATTCCTAATCGTGGTGCGGAGATTATTCTACCTACTATACAAGGATTAGTAATTCCAGGCAGTACTATTTATACAGACGAATGGGCTGGATACAATCAGTTGTGAGATTTGCGTTTTATCTATCATAGAGTCAATCATTCAGACGATTTCACCGGCCGTCGAACTGGAAGGCATACTAATTCAATCCAAGGCTTTTGGGGAAGACTGAAAAACAGGATAAGGGCGATAAATGTGTCATCGTCTCGATAAACACATGTACAGAAAATAGTTTAACTTAAAAACTAATACTCCTCAATATAATTGGGAGATATTTTTAAGTCATGTCAAGGAAAAATATCCTGTTCAATGTGTTGACCATTACTGCCTGTATTTTTCTTGTGAATACACATCATTTTTATGTCCAAAACAGGGATTTTTCTGATTGGTCGCCTCAAGGTCAGTCGTGTGTTCAACTTTACCTGATTAGCTACTCTTATTACAATGATACTTATGATGCCAACCGAATCGTCAGACAGCAATAACTACAGTGGATTTTGTATTTCCAGTATTCTATAAAGGATGAGTGCTTGTATTAGTGATCTACACTATTATTATTATTGCAACACGGGTACACCAACAAGAATTTCTCGAACACGTTACCGAGAAGGCAAGAAATATCTACAACACAACAGATGATACTGACTGTCATGTGCAGCGAACGAACACAATGACATCAGCCACGTGTACTTGGCAGTCAGATCGGAGGTAATCTAAACGCCAGACGACTGTGTTTTATTCATACAGAGTTGAGCTCATAAGCGGTGTATCTGAAATGACTAACTAGACTTAGGGAACTAAATTAATCAAGATCAACTCTGTTTGGTTGGAGAGCACTATTCGGTGACGGCAGTGGTCTAAAACTACTTTCCTCGACCAGAAGTACGTATCGTCATGCACATTGTGAAAGTAGAGTCGGGAAGTCAGTTTTAGGTATAGTTTGGTCAGGAAAGAAGGACGAACATGAACACTATGCTATCATTAATTCGCCTACATAATTAAACTTGTTTTCAACGAATTTATCTTTCATAAAACAAAAAGAAACTAATTTTTTAGTAATCTTGTAAAGTTTAGAAGCTTCTTAATTCAGTTTGTTGTTGACAGCTCGTTACTGCTTTCTTATACAAACAAGAAAGTTACTTGTGTTTTGGGATTGTTATTGTTTCGATGATCCGTGAACACACTGATACGAAAATCTCTGGAGACAATCAATAACCATCAAGGTCATCAGAAAAGGCGGTTATTTCATTCATGGAAAATTTGAAAAGCTCAATTCATTTGGAAGTTAGCACTGGAAAAGTTGTCTGGGAAGATAATGGAAACTTCAAAATTAAACCACGGAGTTAAGGGAAAGGAAGAACATCCACTTGAGCTGCCAATTCTTCCCATTATTTCAAAGACACACGAAAGGTAATACATGCTAATTAGATCGTTCTTGAAATAGGTCACTACCTCCTTCATTTATCCGACCAGGTAGCATCCTTTCAACTATAATCAACTCCACGGATGAGGATGTCACAGCCAGAATCGGAAAGGCAGGACAGACCTTCATAACTCTGAAGTCGGTTTGCCAATCTTCTGCACTCCGTAGCATAAAGAACAAAATTCGGATTTTTTTAACACCAACGTTAAGTCAGTAACTTCTTCTCTATGAGTCAGAAGCTTGGTGCGTCATGGAAACCATTTCTAACAGGTTAATGCAAACTTTTATTAACAGCTGCCTTCGCTAGTTCCATAGTGGAGATCAGATGGCCAGAAAGAATTGACAACAAGAAACTCTTTTGGGACGAACCAATCAAGAACCTATTGCTCCACAAATATGCTGAAGAAAATCGAGATGGGTCAGACACACACGCTGAGAAGACCATCGGATGACAAGGAGTGGAATCCGAATGGGAAACGACGAGTTAGGTGTTGGTTTGAGGGTGACACGGAAGAGATCGTGTAGGGAGGAGATGAAAGCTTATAGGTAGTCGCGAGGCCAGCTGAAGAGAACTGCGGAGAACAGGAAAAAACGGAGATGAGCTGTTGAAGCCCTATGTTCCACTCGGAACCCAATGGAATAAAAAATAGTAATTACATATATATATATATATGTATATATATAATGTAAACATTGAAATGTCAACCTACTGATCAAATCCATAGTCTTTTCTATCCGGCGGTATAACCCGACAACCAGAATAACAAATCTCAGTTAACAAAGAAGGCAGACAACTGCGATTGTATATTTTAACAATATCTTGACAATAATTATCATCTTGATAGTATGACTTTAAAATTGTTTTCAATAGACTGCATTGTTCTGCTTTGATGAGACGAAATTCCACAAGAAGATCCAACGCCTTTTCAAAAGATTCTAGATTATAATTGTTTAGTAAACATTTAGTGTTCATTGATTTTTGTGGTGAATTAGAGCTGGTGTCTGTAATGATTCATTGAGAAGAAAATATATCAAGAACAAAAGAGTATTAAAGCGTTATTACTTACCACGAAATAGAAAACAATCTTATGGTTAACTGAATAACTGGAACTACATCAAATAGACAAAGTAACAATAGAAATGAATAAGTATCATTATAAATGTTTTATCCTTGTGTACAATCTTGCAAACCAAATTATTTATTTTATTTAGTTTGTTTGCGTTCCCAGTGGTAGATAGGACTTCAAGCTTTGAGCTCTGAAGTCTTAGTGGTGGTGATTTCGTCTTTAACTGGGTGAGGTTGTTAGCCACCCGCCAAAACTGCCCTCTTTATCAGGCTCAAGGGAGGTTAAGGAGTGCGCCAGCCGGGAATCGAACCCCAGACCACGTGTAGCCTGGTTGCTGAGTGTTCTACCACTGAACCACTGACGCAAAAACCAAATACGTAAATAATATTTAAGTGAAGATCAATCGATGACACTGATTGTTGGTCACATTACATCAGAAGTTGGCTCACTAGCTGATTGGTAAATTATTATTACTAACCACATCACATAGGAATGGCTTACAATCGTGTATTCTTAGATATCAATCCATTTATCAGCTTCCAACAGAAACCTAATTGTGGTGGACTGGATTATGCGTCAAACGGTGGGAAACGCGAAGACAGGGTTATCCTGGACCAACGTGAAGAATCTAGAAGACCTGGATTTCGCGGATGATTTGTGCTTGATGTCACACAAAATCGAAGACTTACAAGAGAAAACCGACAAACTGGTCGAAAAAGCAGCTGGTGAAGACAGGACTCCAAGTGAACATAGACAAGACGGAGGTTATGAAAATAACCAACCAACCAACAACAACAACAGCAAAATCCAGCGCCAATCACCATCAACGGGAGGGATTTGAAAGAGGTTACTTCATTCACTTATCTACGGAGCATTGTCTCAACTACAGGAGGAACGGACGAGGATGTCAAATCGAGAATCGGGAAGGCGAGAAACACATTCATCAACCTGAAACCAATCTGGAAATCTTCGTCACTCAGCCTGCATCAACAACAAAATTCGGATTTTCAATACAAACGTCAAGTCAGTCAGTTATTCTATACGGTTCAGAAACTTGGCGGGTCACAAAGAATATTTCCAACAGCCTGTTGCAGACCTTCATCAACAGCTGTCTCCGTTCTATACTCAAGATCAGATGGTCGGAAAGAATCACCAACAAGAAACTATGGGAACAAACAAAACAAGAACCAATCGCTCAACAAATATGCAGGAGAAAGTGGAGATGAATTGGACACTCGCTGAGGAGGCCGCTGGGTGACATCGCACGTCAGGCCATCGCTCGAGTGGAAAGCGAAAGAGAAGCGGTGAGTGGTTCGTCGGTGCAAGGGTGACATGGAGGAGATCGTGTGAAGAAGAGTTGAAACATTATGGACTAACATGGATGCAGGTGGAAAGTACAGCAGAAGACAGAAGCAAGTGGAAACGTGCAGTTGAAGCCCTATGTTCCACTAGGAACCCAAGGGAACAATAATAATATAATAATAACAGGAACCAAAAGAAGGATAGGGAGATAAGTCTGTTAAAGAATTTGTAACCAACCAGAGAGTACACACTTTATAGCATCATTCCTTGGTGCCACCATGCCCATAACCTCATTCATATAGCAGTTATAACGTCAGGGGCTAACATCAACATCTCTTAACTATAACATCAGTCAATAAAATACGTAGGTTGATTCTGTTTTATGAAAAATGATGACCATAACTCAGTTAACCTCCCCTTAAAAAGCACTAACTTCCATAGACAAAGTCGAATTATCATATTCCACAAAATTCATCCTAAAGCCATTTTCTAGCTAGTTAGTATAAGTAATTTTTATTGCCATAAATGGAATTAAAGTTGCAACTGAACTACTCAAGATAATGAATTTTAACTAATAAGTATAATTTTCAAGAGTTTGATCACGGAAGTTAGAATTCATGGGCCGGCCATTGGATTCAGCCTCAGTGGCTGAATGGTCAACAAGTCTGGCCTCGTAACTTGAAGGTCCTAGGTTCAATCCCTGGTGAAGTTATCAATGCGCACACCTCCGATTTCCTGAACATGTACCGAAAAGTCTACGTCTCAAGGGAACAAACTCTTATAATAGTGATATTATCAGGCATCGCCTTGATACGGGTCATGAGGTGAAAATCGCGAAATCCTTTAATATTATCAGTAGAAAAGCAGCCCAACTGTCCTCAAGTTTTCTAAATCAATTTCTACTAAACGCTTGAAACCCGATTTATGTGTTCAGAAAGAAGCAGTCATCAGTCTTTCCTTGCCCTGCTGCCTGGTAACTGGATGTCTTTATTCTCTCCTTAAATTTGATTACGTAATCTGTGGCTTTCACATCACCCCCGTTGATATTGTGGTTTTGCCTGTCTCGTGTTTCTATGATTTGTGTTGAACTTGGCAGACTGTTACCCAATTTATTAGTTACTCATCATCTTACGCATCTCTCGTCTTTATTACGTAACTCCCTCACCATTGTATGCATACATTTACTTTGTTTAAACTTGAACTGCCTGTGTAAAAAACTATATAAGCGTAATTTTCTGAGCACTGTTCACTAAGTTTGGAACCTCCTGTCAACTGATATCATGTAAAATTTGCAAGCATTTTAAAACTTTTCCGTACATAAACTTAATAATAATTTATTTAGGCTGTAAGCAGCTAGCTGATGAGAAGCCAACGAAATAAACAATGATGGCACCATATTATTCTACAAAAACTACCACTGTTGTTCTTGCTTTATTCAAATGCGTACTATCGAAGAGTTTCAAACTAGGACGAGATAGCTGTCAGGCAGTACAACTGGGTTTTCGGTATTTCTCTAGCTGCCATCAACCAGCAATCAAACTTGTATTGAACGAAATCTTAACTGGAGTAAATGTTTTAAGATAGAAATACTTTTTTGGTTGTTTACATACTTACTACTTGTGTGAATATTTAAACTCATACATTGTTAAATGCTTCAACAACAAAAAAATACTAAACTGAGAAAATTGTAAGCTGGCTCATCGGAGCAAATAAATAAATAGAAATCGCTCTGTCTAGACAACAATCTCAACAAAAAACCAGTTAGAAAAACACAAACGATAAGTGAAATTTCACTCATTCAATAGGTGGACAGATTATCAGTTCAAATGAAAGATATTTACAAAAATGAATATCAAAAATGTTAGCAAATAAACCTGAAAAGTTTATTTCTAAGCATTTTGTAATGATGATTAGCATTCATCATTAAACTGTTTTATGAATGACAGTAAAAGTAAACATTCTACAATATTTCTATCACCATTCAGTAAGAATGTCTTTTTCAAGTATTGATTGGAATTCATAGGCCAGTGGATCGGGTCCCAGTGGCTTAGTCGTCTACGAGCTCGCCTTGTAAGGTCCTGGGTTCGAACCCCGGTAGATGCGTACTGATGAAGAGTCCCAAACTAGGCTGACGAAACAGCTGTCCAGTACTCCCTGAAGCTTTTCGAATGGTTCTCTAACCGATGTCAGCTCATGATGAAATCCTGTAACCAAGAATGTCTTTTTGTTAGAAAGCAGTTCACACTAGCGATTGAAATCCCTCGAATAACCACTCCAAACCAGAAGAACACTAGATGACTGTTTCGTTGCAGTTTGGAAATCTTCAGTAGTTTCAGACAACAAACGTGAATTTTTAATATCAAGTACTTATTCATTAAAGTTTAGACGAATTCGTTCAAAATTCAGAAAATTTCTGTAAAACATACCACACCGTGTAATCAATTTCAGCTAGTATAGATGAAGAGCTTCAGGATAGACTGAAACAGTAAGCTTAGTATTTCAGAGTAATCAATCATTTTGTTTAACCAATAACTGACCAAGTATTCAACATGAAACTTTAGACAGAATTGCAGCAGTTCAAGAAGCTACACTGCATATCGCACCCAAAGGTAGAGAAAATAAACCCAATGGAGGTATAATAAAGGGAAATGTACGAGAGAAAGAACAGTAGCATGGGAAAACATGAGAGCTTAGTGAATTTAGGATATCGCAAAGGGTGAATGCATCTGCACCATTGACGACGATTTTAAGCCACATCACCAACACCCCCAAGCCATTAGTTCTTAGTGTCCCAAAGGAACCACAGCCAGCTGGTTCATATTTCCCGAAGTCAATGTTAATAACTGTCAACAACTTCATGGATTGGTGCTACGTTTTGATTTATTATTGTTGTTTCCTTTAATTCCTAGAGGAACATAGAGCTTCAGCCGTGCGTCTCCATTGCGTTCGGTTCTCTGCTAGAGTCTTCACCTGGCTCCATATCTGCCCACACGTTTTCATCTCCTCTTCACATAACCCCCTCCGCCATGTCACCCCACCGTCGCACTGACGACCAACTCGTCTCTTCCCATTCAGGTTTCACTCGAGTGATGGCCTGTCTATTGATGTCACTTGATGGTTTTCTCAGAATATGGCCAATCCAACTCCATTTCTTCCTGCATATTTGTTGCACAGTCGGTTCCTGCTGGGTTGGTTCGTTCGCTCATTGCCAGAGATCCCTATTGCTCATCTTTTCTGGCCGGCAATTTGGCCTTGAGTAGTACTGAGCAAAGACAGCTGTCAGTGAAGGTCTGTAGTTTGTTCGAAGTGCCCTCCGTGACGTGGCGCCAAGTCTCTTATCCGTATAGTAGCACTGACTTCACATAGGAGTTGAAAATCCGGATCTTATTTTTCATGCTGAGAGAAATGAAACCTTGCCTTGCTTTCCCCATCCTCGCTTTGATATCCTCGTCAGTTCCGTCCGCTTGTAGTTGCAGCGATGCTTCCCAGGAATATAAAGGAGATTGCTTCTTTCAGATTTCTCCCATTTATGCTGATTGTTGTTGCTGTTGGCCAGGAATCTTCATCACCTCTGTTTCCTCTATGTTTACGTGAAGGCGTATCTTTGATGCCTCTTCTGCAAACTTGTTGCTT